CAGTGTCGGTTGGCGACCCCCAGGGGGAGAGCCTTCTCTGTTGGAGCCCCCACCCTCTGGAACGAACTACCCCCAGAGATCCGGGTGATTCCGGATCTCCCCTCCTTCCGCCGCGCCCTCAAGACATGGCTATTTCAGCTGGCGGGACTGGCCTAAGGGGTATTTTAAATTTGGTTTTTAAATAACTTTTAAAAAAAGGAAGAAAAGGCCCATATTAATATTTCTTTTTAACTACATTTTAAATTTTGTATATTGTATTGATTGTTTTGTTTTAAACTAGCTGTAAGCCGCCCTGAGTCCACCAGGAGAAGGGCGGGGTATAAATGTAATAAATAAATAAATAAATAAATAAATAATGGGATTAAACTACAGATATCAAGGCCTAGAAAAACACTCAGAAATATCCTCAAAGTTCATGCCACAGGAACAGGAAACTACTCCAAGCAGGGCTGGGAGGGGGTATAAAAGACCTTCTGCCCATTGCTCCCTCTTCTTCTTCTCCTCTGCTGCTTCTTGCAAGGACCATCTGTCTTCTGCAATAAACTGTAACCTTCTTCCCAAAGCAGTTGCCATGTTTGCTTATTTATTCCCGGCTTGGATGAACCAGGATGAAGACTTACTTCTAACATGATGATACATATGATGATTCAGCAGAAATTCACTATTTACTATTTTACTACGATTGGTTTATATTATGTTTTCCATGCACCTGAATACTATAGACATTCACATTTGCTCTGGTTTGTGTCCAAGATCCCAACTCTGGCCAAAAGCCAGCACTAACAGCCTATTTTTTGATTTATAACTCAACCCATCCCAAAGGCTGGGTTTCGATTCGAGGGCTAAAACAAACAAAAAATAAACAACCCCCCCAACCAAATTAGCGTCCATCATTGAATGAAATTTATATCTCACAGCCCCGCTTTCTTTCAGCTCCAGGCCAAACGCGATCAGAAAGGGCGTCCGCGTTTTATGAATCTGGATCTCTTTCTCTCCAAAAATTAGAGCACGCAAGAAATCGAGTGTTAGGCTCGGTTTCTGGGGACTGCAAAAGAGGGGCTCTGTAATGCTTCCCCCTCTTCTCCTTTCCCCCTGATAAAAGAGTACAAGAAGGTCCGCCGCCTCCCCCGCCCCCGATCAGGGAGCGTCGGCTGAAGAATTGGCGAGGGAGGCGGCCGCTTTGCTGAACGGCTCCTTTCGTTCTCGCCGCGGTTTCCGACGGAGCCTTTCTGGCTGAGGGACGCTGCCGCGGAGGAGCGTCGGTACGCACCAGCCAAGTGGCGAACGAGGCCGCGCCGGGGAAGGCGGACTGACTGGGAAGTGACATGGAGGCCCCCGAGAGGAAGCTGCCCAGAGCAGTAAGTAGCGGTCCTCCGCTCTGGAGGGAGGGAGGGAGGGAGGGAGAGCAGCAGGGGCAGCGCGAGGTTTCGTCCGGGGTGGAGTGGGGGGCGCTGCGTTGGGTGCTCCGGCCGGGAAAGACCCTCCCGGGCGTTGTAAACTAGATGCGTTTGCTGAATTTAAAAATCGGGTTATAGACGACGGTGAATTGCCGTGATAGTACAGATAGTCCTCGACCTACGACCACAATTGAGCCCAACATTTCTGTTGCTAAGTGAGACGTCTGTTAAGGGAGTTTTGCTCCATTTTACCACCTTGCCACCCTTGTTAAGTGAATCACTGCAAGGGTTAAATTAGTAACATGGTTGTTAAATGAACCTAGCTTCCCCATTGACTGCTCATCAGAAGGTTGCAGAAGGGGATTACATGACCCCAGGACATCGTCATAAATATGAGTCAGTTGTCAAGTGTCTTGAATATTGATCACATGACCATTGGGCAGCTGCAATGGTCATAAGTATGAAAAACGGTCATGTCACTTTTTTTAGTGCTGTTGTAATTTTGAACGGTCACTAAATGAACTGTTGTAAGTCAAGGACTACCTGTATTTGCATTTCTTGAGTCTGATGGCTGAGTGTGAGAACTTTACCTCATAGTCTCAAAGGTGCTTTTTTTCAAAAGGCTACTGGACTTTGTTTTTCCTTAAGATGTTTTACTTCTCATCCTTGGAGCTTCTTCAGCTCAGATGAGAAGCGAAACATCTTCAAGGAAAAACAAAGAGTTGCCTTTTGAAAAAAGCACCTTTGAGTCAAGCATGACCTGGATGACTGAGAATCTCCATAGACATTTAGCTCCATAGTGTTTATCGCAGTGTTAAAATCATAACTGTGATTTCTGTGGTCCTCATCCCATATTTAAGAGGTTCCTAGGGGTGTGTGCATAAGTGCACTAATGTGCCTATTGTCCCTGTTACATTTTATTTTTTCATTTGGTTGGTTCAAATTTGTAATTTTTAACGAATAAATAATTTTATTGTAAAGTATACATTGACCAGGAGTAGTAATTTATAGTATGTGTTGTGCTTGAATGGAGTTTACTAAATGGTAGCTTATCAATAATCTATATGCTGAAACGGTTATTAAATTCAGCAAGTGCATTTGATTTTACAGAAGTTCCATATCTTTTAGGCTGTCATTTCTGTCTTTAGGCCTAAGCAAGCATAGAGGTGGACCAAATCTATTTAAAGACGATGCATTGAAACTTTGCAAATGGCATGTCCCTTATTGCTTCAGATTACAGATCACCTCTCAAAAAAGTTTATGAAGTGCATTCATTTTATTTTATTTATTTATTTATCACAACTTATATGCCGCCCTTCTCCCCATGGGACTCAGGGCGGCTCACAGCATGTTAAAACAGTATAAAACATTTCCCCTCTAAAAGCCAATTAAAAACCAAATATTTGTCGCTGTGTCTTGTTAAAATCCTTAAAATTGTCCCTATTTAAAATTCACCCTAGGTCAGACCCGCTTGCTGAA